CCCCGCGTTCGGCGTTTAGGGTGGGATTATTACCCCACAGCCCTCGATTTCCCCGGAAGCCCTAGATCTCATGAATGACGACCGTCCCCGTTCCCCGCTCACTTCGTTGTTGTCGATCGACGCTCTCGCTGCTGTCGATCGACACTCCTATATTGTTCGCTCGAGCCCGCAGATCGGATCGAAGCTCCTCTGCAGATCAAATCAGCGTTCCTCTCTACGTTCTTCTGCAGATCAAATCGAACCTCGCTCGCGTACCTAGATCTTCGATCGAGTGCATTACCCACACCGCATGTATGCTTCACGACATCTTTTAGAATATCTCAGTCATTATCGTATGTTTCTGCACTATATATTTCTTTTCTACGAATAAGCTATTCTGAATAAGTTGCCCCAAACAGTTTTATCACACAGGGGCAGTAATGTCATTTAACCACCAATAAGCTAGTCTGAATAAGCTGGCCCAAACAACAAGCTAGATTATTCTGATAATCTACAGATTATCAGATTATCAGAATAATTTGTTTATCGGCAGATTATAAATAATCCACAGCTGGGCCAAACAGACCTTTAATATGTATGTTGTATTAAAACTTGTTTTTGGTAATGAAAAATGTGTTAAGTTTGTGAAAATTCTTGTGTTTTTGAATGTTAGAATGAATGTATTTTTTAAGTTATGATGGAGTAAATGGAGGTTGAAAGATGATGGGAGGATAATCAATTAATGGAATGAGGTTAAATTAATGTTAAATTTTGATTTGGAAGCCTTAGGCTTGTTGTGTCACACTTAAAAAGCAAATTTTCACAAATTTGGTCATGGCGTCTAGGCGACAACCATTTACACAGCAGGGCGCCTAGGCGCCAGACTGACTAAACCAGTCAATAAGGGTGAAAAAAGGAATTTAAGCTGACCCACCACCATTTTTTACCTTCATTTAGTTTTTGAAAGTGATACTTAGGGCTTCCCCTAGTTCGAGATTCTTCAACTTTTAGAGGCCAAAAACACTGAATTTCATCTTCTCCAGGTTAGATTTGCATTTTGGCATAGAAATTTTATGGTTTCACAATGGATTTTTTCCACATTGAATGGAGGCAAAAAATTGCTAAATTTTGGAATTTGTGGTAAGAAAATCCATGGATGATAACTTCATTTGCTTGGAAAATATTTTTAAGAGTATTTAAAACTTATATATATGATTTACTTGAAATTTTTCTATATTTGAAGCATGGTTCCAAAAACTAAGAGAGGAAAGGGGAAGGAAATTTTTGATACCACCAACTTTGTGAATCGCAAGGCTCGGGACAAATACGATGACTTTCTATTGTCACAAAATTTCATTGCGGAGCACAGCTTTTGAAGTTCTGATGGAGCTGTACAACACCTGATTGTTGCTCACTAATGAGAAGTATTATGTTACTTCACTGTCGTAGCAGTAATTTCTGTCGCGAGGGAATTCTATGCAAATTTACTTGAGACTCCCAAGTATGAGGTATTTGTTAGAGGATGGGGAGTTGAGTTCACCCCCGAGCGGATCAATATGTTATATGGTTTACATCTTTCTCTGGACAACTTCTATTCAGACTTTGAGCCTACTGAGACTGAGCTTGATGAGATTATTGCATACCTTACTGATGGGCGTGGAGTCTGGAGGATCAGGAATGAACATAAGGTAAATTTTTCTTCTTGCTTACTTAATGCTCCATCAAAGGAAAGATACTATTTCAGTTATGTTAGACTACTTCCCTCGAACCACTTGAGTGAGGTGACTCATGCGAGAGCCATCATGAACTACTGTATTCAGATGATGAAACCCATTGATGTTGGCTCTCTCATCTTCAAGGGTATTTACACCTCTGCTAGATCTAATTCTTCGGCAGGTTTGGGTTTTTCTTATCTTATTTTTACTATCTGCAAGGACTTTGTAGTAAAATATGAAACTTGGAAAGAACAGTTAAAGCCACTAAAGCCTATTGGAAAGGTTATTGTGGATATTTATGGGAGATATAGAGGTACTTCTTCTAACATTCCATCAACTTCTACCTCCAGTACTTCTATTCCACCTTCTGATTTGTAGGATGTGATGAGTGAGAGATATTTGGAACATCAGTCCGATCTGTTCTTGATGCAGTCTCAAAAGCAAGATATGAAAGACATATATGATTATGTAGAATAACACATGCATAGGAAGAGCGACAACAATACAATTTATGAGGAGTCATCAGTGAAATTTTTTAAGGGTGATCATTCAGTTGAGTTTCCTACTTGCCCTCGATTTTCTCCTTATGATCGCCATAAGTCGATGGATGAGGACATTCCTTATGATGATGTTGATGACGAGGAGGATGAATTGAAAGAATTCGCTTTTCTATTATAGATCTTACATGTAGACTTTCTCCCTATTTAGTCACTTTTTGTATATATTTATGTAGGATTGTTGCAGTTGCACTTCTTATCTTGTTGCATAAATGTTAGTTTTGCTCTAAATTAGTTTATATTGTCTATGTGTTAGAGCAATCTTTTATGTTGCACTTTCTATGATATACCTGTTGATTTTTAGATGTACTACTACTCAACACTTGTTACTAATGGTACATGTACTATTTACATTTTTAGTACTCTTTTAAAACTGATAAATTTTCTCTATTCATACTTGTTTTATACTTTAATGTTTTACACAATTTAAAAATAAAAGTTTGGGGGAAGGAGAAAAACTTTTTGAAACTAAACTTTATTTGCCATCAATAAAATATATATTTTTAAAATTATTTTAATACAACCTATGGTATGTGGTGTTAACTTTAGATAATTATATTTTTTTGATTTTATAAATGTTATAATAAACTTAAGTAAAGGGTTTTAGCAATAAAGGGTCAATATAAAGTTAGATATTTAGCATAAAAGTATAAGAATATGCTTTTACTATTCAGAGAAAGAAAAATTGTATGTTTGAAACATTAAGGATTTTAGAGCTACAATTTTATAAAGAATTCAAGACTCTATGAAAAATTATTACTGCACTAATACACATTTTTAAGTAAAGAAATGTTAGAAGTTTTTAACTTTAGGAAGAAGATAATGAATTTCAAAATCATTAAAGATTATTTAGATATATTAATCCTCATATGAAAATGAAAAGAAAAGAAAGGATTGAAAATGATCTTGAAAGAAAAATAAAATAAAGAATCAAAAGAAAAAGAAAAGAAAAAAAGAAAAAAAAAAAAAAAGAAAAGAAAAAAGAGGAAGAAAAAAAAAGAAAAAGGCCAAATTAAAAATTGGTTTTACTTGAATTTTCTTAAAGGAAAAAACTTATTTACACTTCTAAACTTTTAAAAGTAACTGTCTCTTTACTAGTGGAGCTCTTCTATAATTTTTTTTCTTTTAATTCTTCTAAAATTCCTCAATGTGACAAATTGCAGTTATTTTTGAAATGAATAGAAAATCAGAATTCTTAATTTGATTACGAAATATCCTTATATTTTACTTTTAACCTTAATTATTGAAAATTTTTCTTAAAAGTTTCACTATCACATTTATGGGGCAAAACAATAAGATTCTTTACGTAAAACCAACTACCATAAGTTATTATATTTGCTTTACATAGTACAAAAGTTACTTGAGGATAAGTAAAATTTAAGTTTAGAGGAATTGACATGCCTTAAAATTACCTATGTATTATGTGTATTTCATGCTTATTTTTAATGATATTGCACCTTAATAAAATGTGTTTTGTGTGTTTTTTATTTCAGGTGCAAGAAATGGAGTTTAAGAAAAAAAAGTAGCAAAAATGGAGCAAAAATGGGTCAAATGAAGCCAAAAGACACATAATGTGACTTGATGCCTAGGCGCCAGGTAGACTCGATGGCTGGTGCCTTGGCGCGACGGTTAGAAATGATTTTGCCAAGATTCAATGAATTTGGATGAATTTTGAAAAGGAGCCTCAAGTGACCCTTGATTATTTTCAGAACTCTATATATAAAAGACATTTTTACACGCCCAAGGAGGAGAAAAAGAGAAAAAATATATTTTTTATTTGTTTTGGCAACCATAGGGGCGGGCGACCACTATAGTGAGTGTTTGGTGATTTTAGAGGCTTGTGTGAGTCTTGTGAAGTCAAGTTATGTCAGAAAACTTCAGAGGATTGCTTGGGGAAAAACGAGAGATAAGTATTTGTATTTTTGTTTAAGATTTGTCTGGTAAACTTGATATTGATATATATATTTTTTCTATAACTTCTATACATATACTTATACAAATAGCCACAACCTCCCAAATGGATCTCCTTGGGCCACATAATAATTTTGCTAATAATAATAATAAATTATCATCATCCTTCTTTTTAAAAAAAAAGACAAAAAGCATCACAAATTTGAATATATTTGATTAAATACATTAATATATATTTTTGAAAAAAAATGAGCAATGCTTATTCTTATTTTAAAGAGTGACATTTCAATTGTCTGAACGATGTGACCTATATTTCATTTATCAATTTGACCTATTATTTTGGATCTATAATATGCATATTGAATAAATGATGCATCATGTACACACTATTAATAAGTTATCATGCAAATAATGCATTATGTTGTAGAGCAATAAAAAAAATAATCAAAACTCTTTAAAAATTTCTTTGTTACTTTAAAGATCAAATTAATAAAAGATTAATAAGGGACGACATTATTCTTACTAATTACATATATCATAATACTAATAAATAGAAGACATTAAAAGTAAATAAATGAAGAGAAATTCACTTCCGTTGCACACAATTATTATGTATTTACATACCTCATCTCACATCTAAAATTTCATATTTATATGCATAACATTTTAATGCTTTAAATTTTTATATAAAAATGTGTATTTAACTTCTAAAAAATAAATATAATATTATTTTTTGATATGGTATTAAAATTTGAATGATATGTGTGCAAATAAATAAATAATTAAATAAATTAATAATCCGAAAAAAAGGCGGTGTCTTTATTTGAGAGCGCGCCATCTCTCTGGGTTCTCCGAGCTCCTAACTTTGCCTCTTCTCCGTCTCTCCTCTATATATTTTCCTCGAACCTCTTATTGCCAGGCCACATTACTCTCTTCTCCTTCCATCAGCTTCCAAGGTTCCCGCTTTCCACTGTTTGAAATGACCGAGGGTCGCCGCCATTTGCGATCTTCCACCGCCAGCGAATGTATCCCAGAAAAGCTGCTTCCCGGAGATATGACTTCGGACCTCACGCTTATCGATGAGCAGTTAGCCAGGACCCAGCTCCGACAGCGCTGGGAGCTCGCATTTGTTCTCAACTTCTTTCGCGTGGGCTTGATTTGTCGTTTTTTATTCGTTCTGTTTTTTATGATTTCTTTTGGATTGGTTGCCCTAAGCTGCGGTGAGTTTCTGGTTTGATTTAGGGTTCTTTTTTGTGCTGTAGATTTTTCGGCCTCTTATTCCGAAGGATCTGAAGATTCCCGCTGAAGAGATTGAGACGGCTCTCATTGAAGCTAACAAGAACTTGGGACGCATTCACATCGCGCTTTTGAAGGTCGTGTGCTTTTTCATTGTTTTGCACTTACTTACAAAATTTTCAATGTGGTGTTAATGCAAAACATAATAGAAAAAATAAATATTATTATTGAAATCAAATAAATAGTTACAATCAAATACATTTGAAAGGGGAAATTATAACAAACATGACACAAATTCAACCAGGGCTCCATTCATGGGTGGTGGGGGTCGGCTAGGTGGTTAGGGAGCAGAGGTAGATGGATAAAATGAGTTGTGGTGGTTGGGACAACAAAAAGAGGGGAGGGACTGTGTTGGCTTAGTGAAATGGAAGGCAGGGACAACAATGAAAGCAAGGGAAGAGGACGGCGATAACGAGGGGGAGGAATTGCGACAATAAGAACAAGCTGAAATGAGGGAAACGGAGGGCCGAGCGGCTGGAACATAAAAAAACAGTTTGAAACAACTATCTCTGGGTGACGAAAACGAGTGTGAATGACGGTGGCAGTGATGGGGAATGCGTGGGACTACAAAACAGAGAAAGGAGGGTAGTTAAGGGGTTGCGAAAACGAGGATGATGGTTCGACAGTGAGGACTGTAGAAGAATAACAATGATTATTTAGGGGTGGTTGCAACAAGAGTGGGTGGTCAGGAGCGATTTGCAGAGGATATGGAAGTGGATAGGGAAGATAATTACCATCTCAAGAGAGAGATGTAATCGAAGTACCATCCAAACTCTCTGATATAACTCTCAATGAGAGAAAACAGACGCTGACGTTAGTCCTAAAAAAAGCACATGAAAACCTAAACTCTAAACACATGAATCAAATATATAAGAAGTAGGTATTTAGGATTGGGCTCACTTTTGAAAGAAGGCGCCAAATCTACATAAGGAAGGTCGGTCAACCCCCAATTTGGTGTTTGGACCCAATCCTAATCTGCTAGGAGAGTTATCCATCTGGTCGAGTTCGCAGATCGATCGCGAGACTATATTATGAGTTGTAGAACTCGTCCCGTGGGGAGCTCCCCCATTAAATGGGAGCTTCGACGTCATTTGTCCAAACTTCTGTTTTCTCATAGTAGTTAGGTCGACCGCATTGCAAGTAGAAGAAATGTAGCAATCTCCCGATAAGTTAATCCCGCAGATGTTATCGTTCTAAGACACATCCTGGTAGCTTAAGTATCCATTTTTTTTGACAAAACTTGAGTTGAAGTTGCATGTAGATTGGCATCCTCACGAACCTAATCTCGAGTCATTAAATCTATAATTGACTTCTTCCACTTTTCATACTCATCTGAGCGTCTCTGGTAAATAAGTACATAAGGGGAATTCAATTCTGAGATGAAATCTATGACAGATTAGTAACTCTAACTAACAACTATTCATGAGAGACCTCTTCCTCTTCTTTGAAAGGACTTGAATTCTACTATAAGACATTCTTTCTTCTAAAAGCCTAAGACGATTTCCAACTCTATGGCTCATCCATCATGCCTGATCATTTGTCGGGAAAAATACTGCTGAACTGAATTTAATACATCAATGACTCTATTTGGACTTTCAGAAGTGACATAAAAGAGTCATCTCAGACATATGAGACCTCCCTCAGTAGGGATAATTGATGGGATGGCTAGACACGTCTTGCAGCAGTGCTAAATCTGACACATCTTAATTCTTAGTGTAGGGGTCTCATGCAAGTGTACGTATTTTATCAGTAATATTGGATTTTGGCTCTGAAATATTGATCCCACATGGAGTGAGGCAGTGAGACTAAAGAGAAGTTCTAGCCTACTAAAAATAGTCTTAGCCTGGAAGTAATGTTAGTTTTAAGTTGTGCTAATTAGTTCTACAGATTACAAACCACTATTGAAGATTGACTCTTACAGATATCCTACTAAATATATTTGAATTTGTGACAATTAAGATATAAAACTACCCTCCCTTACAATGATATAAGAAGTGTGTAGGAAAATGATTACTTTAAATTGTAATTGTGGCTAGTGACAAATATGAGCAATACTCTTTTTTACCATCGCCTGAGTGCATAAAAAAATTTGGTTAAACTGATTTTAATTCCTTAAACCTCAATTTGAACCCATCAAAGATTATTTCCATATCTATTTGCGTCTCCCTATAGTTTATTTTTGCTCTAACCCTGTTGTTTAACATGAATATTTTAATCATTCTTTCGTAGCTCTCCCTTGTCATTATGGATCCCAATATATTTTAACTAATTATTTGGCCTGAATGAAAAGTAAATGAACTTTGAAGAATATTCATCACATTAAATATCCCTTTTTAAAAATATTTTTCTATTCCTACACAACTAGCATAATCATCACAAGAGAAATGTGAAAAGACTACTCACAAAGCATGGAGAAAATACCATAAAACGTCATCAACATAAAGCAAATTCACTAGGTAATTGTGTTTTACAAAAGTGGAATAAATGAAATGCACAATACTTAGCTTCTTCTTCTTTATAATGCTCTGAGAATATTCTCCTAAGATCTCCTAGACCCTTGCTGCAGTGCTGAATGATCTCCTTACAATAGACCCCTCAAATCTCACCAAAACCTCTAAGTAAAACACTAGTTCTCTCCTACAACACACTCTACTGTTCTCTCCTCCACGAAAATCCTTTTCTAATTCTCCTCAAAGAACTGTTTTTATCCTCCAAATAACTCTCCTCGTCATAGGGAGAAACTGCTAAAAAACTGCTCAGCAGTTGCCGACGCCTAAGCGCTAGCTTCCACTGGATCGGCGCCTAAGCGCTAGCTTCTCTGTCTGCTCAGCTGTGTACTGGCGCCTTGGCGCCCAAGTAAGTGACACTAAAGCATTTGATAGAAGTGCCTTGCCAATGGCTGACACCTAGGTGTTAGTCCCTTGGGTCTTAAATTGCTCCGTATTAGTTCCACTTTGCTCCATTTATTCTCCACTTCGCTTCACTTCGTTCCATTTCTACTATCTGTTGTATCTGTAAGAAAAACATAAAAATATCTTTCGTCAAAGTGCAATAAGATATAAGCGAAATTAAACATGCTTTTTTACACATCAATAACTTATGAAGTAGTATATATATCTGTATTTATGTATACATATATACAATGACGTCATCTTTCTCGCTCGGCTCTGCTAGGGTTTCGCTCGATGAAGAACCCTAGCAACAGTTACAGCTTCGCTTTTTCCTCTAGGCGTCTTCGCGCTCGATTCCGTTCGTCTCCCTTGCTTCTTCTCCAGCTCTGAGACGAGGCTCGTCTCCCGTCTTCTGGTCTCGCGAGCTTTCTTGGCTCGAGATTTCCAGGCTCTGCGGCTCCTCTGCGGCCCGTCTCGCGGGTACCGCTCGCGTGTTCTGCGACTCAGTCTTGCAGATACTGTTTGGGATTTCTGCGTTCTCTGCGCTCGTCCCGTCTCACAGCGTCCTCCCCTTTCTTAGCTTCGGCTATTTCGACGCGATTTTTTCCCTCGTCTGCTTTCTTCTCTGAACGTCGCACCTATCTTTGAGGATGACTTTAAAAAAATCGTATGCAACTGCCATTGCCAGTGTCCACGCCTCAGGCACACCAAAATCGTCATCTTTCCCTCATTCGTTTGAGTGGGCAGAGAAAATCAAGAAACCTAGTAGAAAGAATAAGAAACCTGTCATCTTTTTTACAGAAGCTGAAGGTATTCAACTTGCTTCCTCATGTCGTCTGAATTTGGTTGGGATCTGAATTTGGTTCGTCTGAATTTGGTTGGGAAATTTCTATATGGTAATCTCAAAATGGAGTTACTTATGCACATTGTTGGAGAATGCAAAATTGGATTATTAGATGCTAAAATGATAATATGAATTGATAACAGAACAATGTCGATTCTGAAATGGTATGTGGATTTTGACCCACAGATGGAACCGCCAATCATTCTGGTTTGGATTCATCTCTCTGGTTTGAAATTTCATTATTTTTCTTAAAAAGTATTGTACTCTATTGCTCCAGCTTATGGGAAACCACTCAAGACGGTCATTCTTACTTTTAATCTGTCCCGTCTTTCTGAAGCCAGAGTACTTGTTGAAAGATACATCACTTCACCCGCTTCTGAGGAAATCTGGTTGGACACACAACACCATGGATATTGGCAAAAGGTAGAGATTGAACCTTTTCCGTCGGATTGTCCGAACTGTCATATGTTCAGACACTCCAGTTCTCAATGCACCATCTACACCCCCAACTCAAACCAAAAAAGCAAACTGCTCCGCTAGAGGCTGTGATTTCATCTCCTCCTATATGATCAAATTGAAAAACACAAATTATTAATTTTTTTTTAAAGTGTAAACCACAAAATAAAAAAAAATATTAGTTGAATTAAGCCAACTTCAAATATACAATAATAATTTTATTTATGCTTATTAATTTGTTTATAAGTTTTAACATATTGGTACTTTACATATATTTAGTATGCTTTCATTAAAGTTTGATTACGCCCCATAAAAAAATTAGATAATCACACTCGAACATTATCTTAAAACTTAAGTCCAAACTCGGTTTGAGCTTCTTGAGAAAACAAATAAACTAGATTAATATAGTGTTAGGTATTTTTTTTTTCTTTATGAAACTGATGATTTAAATGAATGTGTTTAGTACTCTTTTTTTTTCTGAAAGACTTCACACCTTATATCTCCGAATTACAAGGCAAGGGCAAATATAAGTCATTTAATTGACCACTGGTATGTATTTTACATTGAAATTTAAAGCTAATTGGCTGTTTTGGTTCATTCAATATGAATACAGTACTTCTAAGGTGGTCTTGCTGGTTCAACTACAATTTTCTTTCTTTTTTGTTCGGTAAATATCTGAATATATTCTGATTTTAGTGAAGAAGCGTTTCTGAATATAAGCATGCATTCTTTCATAGCATTTCTTGGTTTGGTATGGGCTACTTGATGATTAAAATTGAGCTCCAGTACCTCCTTTAACAGAAACTCTAATATTTTATGCTGGAAACTCACCTAAACTTGTCACTTCTGCTGGGAATTCACCTGAATTTCTGGCTGATGCAATAAA